AACCCTAATAAATAATATTGCGGGTCAACTTCACAGAAACCCCCTTCTGCACATTATTTTAAATTTCTCTAACATGGGCGTGATATCGGTCGGATATGTCCTCTTATTAGGCTTTCCGCATAACAAGATGGTCTTAATATCTTTTATCACTTTTGGTAATTTTTTGGTAACATATCATGATTGTCACCATATATCAGGATATATTTGGGCCTTAAAAAAATCAGTTGAAATATTGCAATATCGATTAGGGCTTTTATTTGTTTTAAGAGATTGATATGGATTTATGGGTCAATTGAGGTCTAAACCCAAACAAATATCAGCTTATGTAAATAACCCAAAAGAAGAATTAAGGCGCAATCGAGACCAATTTTTTTTTATAAAGATACCACATTTCTCCACAATTCTATTTTTTCATGCATCAAATATGAGCATCTATGACATACACACAAATTATTTGATATTATACTTTGAGATTTATTAAATATCTTCAATATATCCCCGATATCCACCATCAGATACGGAATTTTTCTATTAGATATGTCCCCGACAGCTGGCATTTAGAAATTGCTTATGAACTTTGGGAGGTTTTACACTTAATCTGCCTAAATTTCTTTTCCCATCTAGCCACCACAAACTTTAGGATGTCCTATAATACCCATCTAAACTTTTAGGTTCTCCTAAACAAACCCCTCAATAGTGCATGCCAGTAAAAAGATAAAATACCCTTTCAAAATTTAATCCAATTATTAAATTAAATCAATTTCTAATCAACCATTACTTAAATTAATAAAATTCCTGATTAGAAAGAGAGGTCAGATCACTGACAACAAACTGGCTAGTGACGGTACCAAACTAAAAAGGGTTCCAGCAATGAGATGCTCTTGGATAGTTAGGGAGTAAAGTAATGGGGAGGAGGGGGTAGAGAGAGAGAGTAGGATGAAAGACAAGAGGTATGTCATATGCGGAGGAATCATCAGCTACGAGGAAGGAGGTGACGAGGTTGTTGGTGACGGGGTGCATCAGGATTAGGGTTAAGGGGAGGAAAGGAGGGAGAGAGATTTCTAAGGATGAGGGTTGCCAGGTCTTGGGAAAAGAAAGACAGAATTCAGTGTGTATTGCAAATACCTCAATATGGTGGGTTATTTGCAAAAAAATGTAAAAAAAAGTATAAATAGGAGATCTTTTGGCTCAACGAGTGTTTTCGTTATTTTGGGTCATGTGCTTCCATGTGCAACATTAGAGGTGATGGTTTTACTTTTTGAGGTTAAATTGTAAAACATAAAGGGTGTTTTAAACACCCTAAAGTCAGGGAGTTTTGTGAAATTAATCAAAAAGACGCGTAGACACGTTCCAAACCTCCGAAAATTCTTGAGGACCCATGTATGTTTGTTTTCTCCAATAAATTAATAGATACATGACGCAAGATGACTTTCTTTTTAGAAATCATGAAAAGAAAGATGAAGAAAAGAATGTAGGAGGGCAAAAAAATTTTAGTATTAGATTTTAAATTATAGTAATTTTTTTCTTGTAGCCTCATCTATAATAGGCAAGTTATTAATTTGAGATTGTTATTGCTTTAGGTATCTTTTAGATCCCAATTATTAGTAAAGTTTTTATTTTCGTACCATTAAAAATCTTCCTCATTAGAAATTTGTTGTTTGGCGACTAAGTTTTGGAAGTCTATAAAATACTAAGTTTCCATCAGCAAAGTAGGATGAGGATGCATTAAAAAAGTTATGATATCTAGAGATTGTGATGCGATCTTCGGGTGTGAGATTCTACTTGTTCCTCAAGGTGCAAGACCTTACTTTGCATCAGGCTATTGATTCAAGCATGAAGGTATTTATCCATGCATGAGGCTAGAATCTTAATTTTTTATGCTATTTGTTCTTTTATGTTTCGACTTTCTAGTTTCTTTACAATTCCTCATCATTCAGCATTATAGATCCAAAAAAATCCACTATTGCCGCTTGGACATCAGCATTACCACAATTCAAAGTTCATCAATGATATCTACTTTTAAACTTGAGTTCCAGTTTCTTCAACTAGGTATGATCTGAAGCGAGACAGACTTTCTTCTTGGAAAAAACAAAAGGTATGAAGAAAAAAGAGGACTAATTTTCCTAAATATAAGAATTTAATTTTAGAAGTTTTCCCTGTAGCCAAAAGACAAATATTAGTATTGAATTCTAGTTTAGAATCTTTTACAATCCTTATTATTGGAATTAGTTTCTTGATGATTAAGTATTCAACATCTATAAACACCTAATTTTCTTCAATAAAAGTATGATTGACGTTTTGGGAAAAAAATGATTTGTAGAGGTTGTGTAATGCAATCTAGATTTTTCATCTTTATTTTTTGGCTAAAATTGGGTCAACCACAAGCTGGGTTCTTTCAATTCAAAACTGACCCCTCATCCGGGTTAGAAATGATCTAACTCCCCTACAGATCAAAATTAACTTAGTTAAGACTTTAACTGCGTTAGTGTAGAGTTGCCAACCAGAGCACATGGTCGAGTTACCCCTTAGAACAAGACTCTCAACTTCCAAAATACCCCTCGAAATGTTGAGGAAGGTTAAAAATGGATTACGAGGACTTTCGACCATCGGAGAAGATGATTCTAATAAGTTTTAGATTATAGTTAGCTAGTTTTGGATTTAAATCTTTTAAGAAACTGATTGGTTAAACTTAACTAAGGGGTATATTTTGAAGTTCCCCCGAAACATTAGATCTGAGTGAATGTTTATCCCATAGAAGTCCGGAACTTGATACGCTATAGCGAACCACAACCCAGGTTCAATCGTCTCATATTCATGTAGAACACTAATCTAGCGACCCCATTTAGAATTCAAATCAGTTAAATTTTTTTTAAAAAATAACTCTTTTTAAAAGAATAAACAATAATAAACGTGAGGAAGTAAGCAAATAAAGTATGCATATCTTAGTTGCAACATGATTCTCAAGGTTCTTTTACCATTACTGATATCAACTAGTATTCAAAAACCGAACCTTAAACGTACTATGTTCCCTAGCATACCATATAAGCCTACCCCCCTAATACCATGTTCCCTGGCGTACCCTAAGCCTACCCCCTAGTATCAGATTCCTAATGAGTGGCGTACCACGTTCCCGTTTCTGTCCCGTGAACCAAAATGAACTAGGTTCCATGCAACTATGATTTATCCCCCTACCTGCTGATTTAACATCGGTTTACCTAAGGGACCAATTTGCACGAATCTTTAGGATTTGACGGATGTATAAGTAGTACTGAAGATTTCAAGGGCTAATATAGATTTATTGAAGATTTTTAAGACTAATATCTAAATAACTCTTTTTAAGCTGTGAGAACATAATTGGCGCGAGGCCAGAATCTTAATTTTCTACTTTTTCCTTTTTGTCTCTACTTTTCCTATTTATTTTATGTTCCCCATCAATATCCTTTATTGATAAAGTAAATAGTGAAAAGAATCTTAACAAAGTCGATGAATGGTCTTTGTTTCTTCTCAATTGTAACTCAGCTTAGCTCCTTGAATTTAATAAATTCAGTATGCATTCTTTAAAAAAGGACTTAAATTCATTCAAAGTATCATGTATATTAATTAGTCTTAGATATTTTCCTACCCTTTTTATTAAATTGAAAGATAATTTATTTTGTAAATCATGCAACTAATGGGAGTATCCTTATAACTCTCATTTAGTGAAGCACAGAAATTAGGGTGCCACAAAGGATTAATGAAGTAATGCTCTTCCTTCTAATTTTCAAGTACATTGTTCAATGTTCAAATAAATGTAGGAAATATCAAAATAATATTCGAATATGCTACAAGTTTAACAAATATCGACCAACTGTATTATGTCAAAGTTCCTTTAAAAAACTGTTCGTGCACAAAGTGCTTTTTCCCAAGTACACTAGTTTTCGTACATGCAATAATCCTCTTTAGCAAAAAAAAAAAAATTAGCTTCATGTTATTTATCATGAAAGGTCCTTTTACATGTCAACCAATTCCTATGTTCCCATCTCAATTAATTCCCTAATAAACTCAATTCATAAGTTGACTCATCCAATATGTTGTCATCTTTTTTATGTGGATGACCTATCGAATGTATTGAAAGATAAGGTAGAAACTTTATCATTCATACTACAATACATAACATTCAACCAAGTAAATCATCCTTGAGACAGTCACACATTTACATGTTATGATGGACGAAAAGCCAATTGACAAAATACTCAAAATGAGTTGGAAATGAAAGTTCATGTCTTCAGATGAGAGATGAGTATCATTCTTTATGGTTAATCCAAACCAAATTTCAACTTAGGGTGAAACTCATCTCTATAACATCGTCTGTTCATACAGGACAAAAAAATGATGCTAAGTAGCCAATCATTACCTTTGCAAGCCGCGTCACATAAGCTGCTGCCAAGGCTGTAGCTAATAGGCCAAGGCCTAAGGTCAATAGTTGACCATTTCCTCCATGTAATCCCACCTCGGATTCTTCTTGCTACAATAAAAGGAAAGTAAAAAGAGTTTACCGCAATTTCTATTTCTATAGAGATTTAAACAATACACAGCACTGAAATTTAAAAAGCAGAGATAGCAAGAGAATAATTTGAAGCAGAAAATGTTTAATTTCCAGATAACTCGGGTAGTCTATAAACAGTTTCCTCTCAAAGCACATGTAAAATGGTAATCCCCACGGCTTGGAGCATTTGGTCCATGTTCGAGAAGATACCTAGATGACGTTCATTACCTTGCGGATCAAGTGACCCCTAACTACATTCATTGATATCCCTCTTGTATGAACCACATTTATCCAAAGCTCTTGATGACGCTCATTTTGTTCATATGGACATCTCCATTGTGAACTTAGAGCTGATTACCGTCATTTTATTCGACTCTCTCATGCATCAAGAGTTTATTGTTACACTCACATTCCATAAGTCTTATCACGTGGGCTAAAGCCTAGTGTGCTAAAAAGATGTTACAATATTTCAGCTTATAAAACTCATTAAAAGTTGTCTCTGGAGATTAGAGGTATTCAATTCTTCATCCATTTTGGAGAAAAATGGATAAGATAATTACTAATCAATTAAGTCGCTAACAAAGAACAACATAATTTTAATTTGAGATAAGAAACCTTGACAAAATTATATCTTTCAAGTTATGTTATCATAATCATTGAGAGATATCAAGCCAAGAAGCCGATGTAACCATGAAAACACTAAACAAATACATGGCCTTTATCCTGAATTTCTATGGTCTGCTGCAAAAGAACCATCTTTCTACACCCAACTTTATTAAGGGCTTTTAAATAGTTATAACACAAGGAAAGCAAGAAAAGGGAAATTTACAAAATACATGATTCTTTGCTGAACATTATGCATATACACATACAAAGGAATTGTTCATAAAAGCTCAAGTTTTCCTTAACAATTTAACCTAACATAGCTTCTTAAATGAAATCTGCATATTTCCAGAAAAGCAAATTACACATAAGCTCAACCTAAATATATTGTTATTTTTCCTGCAAAGTTGTTCTTGTCATATTTTCATTCAAAAATATTTGAAGGAATTAACTCCTTCGACAAACAGTCAGAAACACAGAGGATTGTCATATTTTCATTCAAAAATATTTGAAGGAATTAACTCCTTCGACAAACAGTCAGAAACACAGAGGATTAGAGGAAATCAAAAAATAATTCAATATTAGTTATACTAGTCAAAGACATGCATTTTTTCCTTAACATTTTGAATTGAAGGGTTGAGTATTCCTGCATACAAAGGACTTCAAGTGTTTCCTTTGTACACTTTCATAGAAAAGCTCAACAGTTACCTGAGTATATCTAAGTAGCTACTTAAACAAGAAATTCAGCTTGTATAGAAAATAAGGTCCACTAAGAAAGGTACAAAAGCCACTTGAACCTGAGACCCCAAAATCCAACCTCATATTTTACCACTAAGCCAGACCAAACTAAGAAGATATTAGTATTGTATCAAAAATTGTCCACAAAATATGTCTGCCCTAGAACGTTGAAGACAATTAGCTTTCACAGTCAAAAGTGGTACAATAAGAAACAAATTAGAAATTCAAAGAGGAAAATATAAAAAAAAGTCATGATTTAACCCTGCTAGTTAAACATGCATGCATTATGGGCACACAACGAGTTTTATTAAAAAAAAATTATTTGTCTTACTAGTAGAATTTAATATATCCACAGTGCAGTTGCAGGCTGCCATCCCAAAAATAAATTCCTGGAAAAAAATTGAAAAATATTTTGATATATCATCATCTACAATTAAACCCTTTAACTTTTTCCAATTATATTCTATCTCAGTAACTCTAATAACAGCTAAGATTCTTATTAATTTAACCTTTTTATGATGATGAATTAGTATACATTAAAAAACTTATCCATCTTAACTTCAACTCAAAAACTTTAGGACACGGACAGTATCTATGTTTAATACAGCTGAAAACTTAGCTATATCATGATCTACCAGCATGTGAGAGATCAGATTTTAAATTTGATAAAATATTATCCACTTCTTTGGTACTAGTGATAGTAGTCTAGCTCAACTCTTAATAGAAAGGGCAGCCTAGTGTATAAGGCTCCCACCATTGTGGGCTATATGGAGGGTGTGATGTACGCAGCCTTATGCTCGCATGTGGAGATGTTGTTTTTAAGATTTGAACCCATAACCTCCATGTCATAAAGTAGCAACCTTTCCATTGTGCCAAGGCTTAGCCTTCGAGCTCAACTCTTAAAGAAATCTAAAAAGAGCAAACTTTTGGTAAGTTAGTTTAATGCATTTTTAGTAAAGATTGAAATTATCATTAATTTAAAGTATGAATGGCATTATTATAGGCTAAAGAGTGAAAATAGTAATATATTTAATTCTCTATCAAGTTGTTCTAATGTACAACTAATTTAGAATAGGGAGCGCATCACTTTAGTTTCAAGTCAAATTCTTTATAGATCATGACAGTACGACAATTCTTAAAAATGATAAGTACCAAATGAAGCCAACAACAAAATTTCGAACAGAAAATCACATACATAAAATTTTTAAGAGAAAATTAACCTGATGAAGAAAAGAACATTTAAAGTTTAATTAACATACTCTCAGTTAAAATTTATTTGACTTGGTTAGAAACTAATTGAAGCATATAATATTCAAGATCTGCAAGAGATGAGTGTTCCCATATAAGGTAAGAATATGGTTAGTTAAAACCACTGTTATCTCGGGCGCACTGAGGCACACGTACCTCAGGCGTTGGGCGCATCGGGGAACTAGAAATGCGCCCCGCATAAGGTGCAGGGCGCATCACGTAAGTGAGGTGCACGCCTCGATGCGCCTCAGTGCACTTCACTACCCTGCACCATTCTCTAACTCTTTCTACTACACCTTATTCCTCCTCGTACCTTCTCTTTTCCATTGTTTCTTTATTTTTTTCTCCTTTTTCCCATATTATTGTTTACTCTACTATAATTTCTTTCATTTTTCCCTTTTTTCTCTTTTGTTGTTACTACTTATCTATCTAAAATTAGAACATTGATTACGAAATCACAAAGTATTACTCCAAATATTATGACATTAGTTATTGATAATAATGTTGGTAATTATGAATGTATGATTAGTGAATGTCATTTTATATATTTCAACGTGATTAATTACTGAAAATATGGAAGGGTATGACATTAACACTATTTTAACGAGTGCTAAAATTATGAACTAGAACCCTATTTTGTGATTTGACAAGTGAATTTCTTATCTTGGCATATTTTCCTTAAAAAATCATAAACATGTTGCTTGTTTAATTTTATATATATATATATATACATTGCGCCTTGCACCTTGATAACACTGGTTAAAACCTAAAGTTCTCTCTAAACTAGTATCTTTAATCTTCCCTAAAATTAATTTTATAATGATTCTATTTAACTAAGAGGCATTGTTCTCTTTCAATCAAACTTTTAAGCTATTGATGCTTCCGTATATGAAATAAATGCATTCTTGATTTCTGCTATCTTCATTAAGAGTTAAATATTACCAATGGCTATGCTTCTCTCTATCAAGGCCAACATTTTCTTCAAACAGGGACCTCCTAAGTTATTGGGCTTACATGATAGTAGTTAGTAGATATTGCTATAGATTGTGGCACACAAATTGACTCGTCAGGACAAATGCTTAACAACTTACGATGATAGCTCGTCCAAATGCACCTGCACTCACATATGCCCATGTCCCTGGAAGCATCCCCAGCCAACTGCAAAGTGGGTAGATATCAATTGATGACTTGAGGCATATCACATAATAATATACAAAACAATGAAATTGAGTTCTGACATTTGCAACCAGAAGACTAATCCACAGATGTCTGTCCTATTAGGAACACGAGAAAATAACACTTGAATGCTGCTCGTTATGTTCTTAGATTCAGTTTGAAGGAATAAGGCAATGGCTTAATATACATACAGTTTTAAATTGTGACCAAGAACAACTGTGTGGTGTATGATACAGCTAACTGACATTAACGAGTGACATGCATAGTAGTTAACTAGTTGTTGAATGACTAATGAATTTAAAACAGTTCTATCATATTGGTACAACTTCAGAACCTGAAATCATGTGTTTACTTTCCCCATATCTCACATAGGTTTCCATGACACTGCAACCACAAATTGATTCTTCAAAAGATACATGGCTTCCTTGGTTATTTTCTTTTTTATTAAGGATAACCACAATTTTGTCAAAAGATGAGAGCATTCTTTTACACAAATGCTATCCACTATTTCAGCTTCTTATCATTAAGTTATTCTCCCTGTTAGTAAAACGATTTACATTCTTCTAGATCAATGCATGCCCACATCATTTTATATAGAAGCTTTACTGATGTACCTGCATATTATTGCCAAGTTTTCCCAGTTAGCATTATGGTTGCATTCTTCGATAAAATATAAAACATGCAACTAAAACTTTCTGTTGCAAAACAATTCTCCTGTACCTTTGCACTGAAATATATAGATCATGAGTAGATTCTAATGCACCTTGCCAAAGTATCAATAACTAACCTGCCCAGCACATAAGGCACTAACTTCACCGAAGTTAAACCATATAAGTAGTTTCCAAGGGAGAAAGGAAGCAAAGGACTCAAACGTAAAAGAGTGACAACTCTAAAGCCATTCTCTCCAATTGCTTTATCAATTGCAAGAAACTTTTTGTTTCCTTCGACCAATTTAAGAATACGTTCACGGGCAAAGTATCTAGCAATAAGAAAAGCCACAGTTGCA